GATGCTCAGCCTGGAGAAGAGAAGGCTCCAAGGAGACCTTAGAACCCCTTCCAGTGCCTAGAAGGGACTTATAATAGAGGGAGAGTGACTTTTTACACAGGCAGGTAATGACAGGACAAGTGGGAATGGCTTCAGACTGACAGAGAGCAGGATTAGATTGGATGTTAGGATACTTATAACCATGTAATCACACAGACCTTCAATGAGGGCAGGGCAGAGGGCCACAAGGCATTTTTCCAAGTGGTTATGCTGTTGGGATGGGAAGCAATCAGAAATCCCCTCAAGATCTGCAAGAATGCTCGTAGTGCTCCTAAGATTTATCTCACACACGCAAAGGGGATGCTTCAAAGGAAACATTTGCTGGGGGATTGCCCCAAGAAGGTGGAAGAGAGAGTATTAATTACAGGGAGAGGTTTTTATTCCAGTAAAAGTGAAATCTAGGCAATTGATTTACTTGGTTTTTCCTTTATTCTTTGGAGGCACAAATAACGCACTTTGGGAAGTGCAGGTCCTGGTGTTCCCCCTTTGATGATGGCCCAAAGCAGCTAAATTTTGGGATCTGCTGAGGTGATCTGCACATGGTTCCTAGTGCAGTCTGGCATGTCTGCACTCCCTGTGGTCCTCCAGCACATCCTTGCTGCTGCTGACTGTGGCTGTCCAGCCAGCACCTCCCTCTCTCAGACCATATTGCCTCATCCCACGTATTTCAAATTCCTTTAAAGGTCTTGACTACTGAGCCAGTTTTCCAAGATTCTGGGAATCTCCATCACCACCAAGTCAGGAAGAACCACAAATGCATCAGACCTTAAGAACACAAACCAGACTCGCTCCCAAAGCATTCCTGCAGCATGAGCATGGATTATCCTCAGACAGAATCAACAGGACAGAGAGCTGGGGAGAAACACAGGGCACAGGCAACAAGGAACAGGACATTGTAGTGACCAGAGTCACACCACAGAGTCAGGAGCAGACTCAGGAATTACGTTCCTGCACCCCTTTGCCAAGTGACTCCTTGTGCTCTTCCCCAGTGAACAACAAGACGTGCTGCAAAGGAAGATCTGAAGCAGCAGCAATGGTTTGTGTTCCTGCTCAGCTGCAGCTGGATGTTGCTCTGAGGCAAAGCTGATGGGACTTGATTTATTTATTGGATGACGGACACGATTCAAAACCACGGCACTGAACCCCCAGCTCTGCAGGGTCTGTTTAAAGGTGAACATAAATCAAAAGCCCCGAGATGTTCCTTCTGCTCCTGCACGTCACCTCCACCTGTCACCTCTTCCTTTGTCCCAAACACTGCAAGAGCTGTTGTGTTGTCCCATTTGTAACCTGCTGCTGCCAGGGCTCATGGACACGGGAATGTCTATTCCCACGTGCTAGTGGACTCCACATTCTGTGGCACTGGGACAACCCCACGTTTGCACAACATTATGTAGGAAATTCAGTCTGACTCATCCCCAAAAACAACCACAAACATCAAGGAAAAGAGTCCCTGGTCATTATTTTTTTCCCTAAGGATAAAGGTGGTGAGGCCCTGGCACAGGTTGCCCAAAGAAGCTGTGGCTGCCCCATCCTCCAAGATAGGGCTTGGAGCAACCTGGTCTAGTGCAAGATACTTTAGACCAGGGGAAGGAAAAGCCTCCAGAGGCTTTCCTGCTGATGCCTTTTTATACTTTACATCAATAGATGTCTTCATTTTTAATAACATTGTCATCTCACCTATGTAAAATATGTATTAAAATTAAACCCCATAAAGTTTGGCTCTGGTGCTGTAGGTTAAACAAACATCCCTTCAGTTTGCCAGGAGTCCTATAGCAAATGCTCAAATTGTTCACATTATTCAGCCAACCCATTTTTTATTAAAAAAGAGAAAACCTACAGAACACTCCAGTTCATGCTCAGAATCTGCAACTATGCCATGAGCTTTCCTCACTCCCAAGGGATGGCACAGAAAATGCCACGCCTTTCCCAACAGATCCATGCTGCAGAATTGGAAGCAACTTGAACATGGGATCTAAGCTGCTGCTGCAGGTTTTTCACTTGGAGAGGGGTGTCACAGTTCTGGATATCTTTCAGTTTGTTCCCAAGAAATATAAGAAACCCAGAGCCCCAGAATAAGCGTTCCAAAAGATACAATCCTACAAAACAATCACAGAACTGGATTGGGGGCTGAAGCAGGTAAAGGTTTCTTACAACAGGGTGGTAAAACACTGGCACAGGTTGCCAGGGAAGCTGTGGCTGCCCCATCCCTGGAAATGTTCCAGATGAGGTTGGACAGGACTTGGAGCAACCTGGTCTAATAGAAGGGGTCCCTGCCCATGGCAGGAGGGAAGACAAGATGAGCTGTGAGGTCCCTTCCCATCCAAATCATTACAGGATTCCATGCTTCTAAGGATGTGCTCGAAGATCCAGCTCACCCTTCCCCCTCAGCTGTGCAATCTGATCATCCCTGATGTTTTTCTTGGCTGCACAAGGTTATTAAGAAGAACAGGCACCTGAGAGCACCCTGTCACACCCCACAGGCACTCACCTGTATGATTTAGGCTCAGCTGCCTCTCTATTCCAAAACAACCCTCACAACACTGATGAAGATCCAGGGGCAGAATCGTGGCAGCATTACATAAGGGCAGGAGGAAGTTTATAAAATTAAACACCCTTTAAGTGCAACACTCAGAAGAGCCTTTCCACGGGAAAGCACATCTTCCAACTCCTTACCTACAACAGAAGGGAGAGCCCCTCACCTTCCACCAAGGCTGAAATTTAAGACTAATCATGGATTAAGATACAGAAGGAAATTCTTTATCCCTGCAACATTTAAATCTGTGTGAACCTACAGTGGTTTCCACGACAGCATAAAAACAAGCCCTGTCCATCATTTTCTTCCAGAGAGCCCAAAGCAGCAAGTCAAGTCTTGCTCCCCATAAACATGCTGGAAGCACAATAAATATTATTGAATTCCATTAAACACTACAAACTTTCAAGCCTTGTCTGGGGGAGGGGGGAGTTTCTGACAAAGGGATGATTGATTTCCAGGAGAGTTAGGAATGTGATGCTCACTAAAATAGAAATAAAATACATATATTTTAGTCCTTCTACTCACCAGGAAATCAAAGTGCATGTGGTTCTGTCTCAGTGCAATAATGATGGTGACAATGAGTTACTGAAGGGCTACTCAGTGGCAAGGCAGCAGTAAGTTCTGACCTGCCCTGCTCCCAGCTAAATGCACATCACCAAACGTGACAGATGAGCTGGGGCAATTGTACCTCTCCAAAAAGCGGAGGGGGGAAAAACCCCACAGAAATACCCCACATGTAAGGATAATGTTCCACAGGACCTCACTTTGTGTTTGTGCTGAAAACCAGCTGTGTGTGAATGCACAGAGCCAGGCTTTAATATCTGCTTGGATATCCTTCAGTGCTTTCACACAATTATCTGGATCCTTGGGCAGAGATCTCTGGAAAAGCTTCATGGACAGCAGAGATAACATCAGGAAGGGGGTGCCAAGCCATGCCCAAGACATGGGTGTTGGGGGTTGACCCCGGTGTTCCCAGTGCCACGGCACAGCTCACTCTGCATTCTTGGCTGTGGGTTGTTCTTATCTCACTCCTTCTTGGCCAGTTCTGCACGACAGCAGTGCTGAAAGCACGAATACCCCCCCGAGGATGGAGCTGGTGAGGCTCCATAACTGAACACGACACCAGGACTCCCACGCGCTCCCCGAGGGCCGGTCCAGCCCAGCCCTTCCAGCCCCACCACTTCCATGTGCCGCTTCCACGAGTCTAAGGTTTCTAAGAACTGGTCCCAGATGCTTGGAAGCTCAGGATGCAGCTAAAACAGCTCGTGTAGCCTTTAGCCTGGAAGGGCCGAGGAGGACAGGAGAAACCAAGCTGGGGTCATTTAACACCAAGCCCACGAGCTTCCCACTTGAGCCGAGCTTAGGGAATGCAGCTGTGGGGAAGGAACACCGGGGTTAACGCCCCTTCCCTGCTCTGCCGTGAAGCAGAGTGGGGTCACGGACCTGGATAGTGGCCAGTGTGTTCTCAAGAAATATGAGGAACCCGAGTCCGAAAATAAGTTTGGCCCAGCTGGTCTGAAAATACAGCCCTACAAAAATAATCACATGGTGGGACTGGGGGCTGAAGCAGGTGAGGTTTGTTATAACAAGGGTGATAAAACACTGGCACAGGTTGCCCAGAGAAGCTGTGGCTGCCCCATCCCTGGAAGTGTCTGAGGCCAGGTTGGATGAGGCTTGGAGCAACCTGGGCTAGTGGAAGGTGCCCCTGCCCATGGCAGGGGTGGAACAAGATGAGCTTTAAGGTCCCTTCCAAGCCAAACCATTCCAGGATTGTGTGATTCTTCTGGGAACAAGACTAGAGACACACAAAGATCTTTTTTTCCCTCTAAATTTATATATTTACATTTACTTAAACTAATCCCAGAGACTCACAGCATTTCAGCAGCCATCTCTCTCAAAAAGGACAGCAACCTTCTGAGCCTTCCCCACTGGCCCAGCAGCAGGTTGTTGTTAACTTGTCCTGGGCTACATCAGCAGGAACTAAAAATAGTTATCCTTAAAGGAAATCCAAACACTACAATCTCCTCTTTCACTCACTACCTAATTAATAGTTTCCAGGTCACCCCGGCATTCTGAGAACATCTGTTCGTTTTCACTGCGCTCAGGGGAAGTCAAAGCTGGCCTGAAAGGGGAATATGAAAGAGGGTTTAATGTCTGCAGAGTCTCCCTGCCACAGACAGAGCCGGATGCTGGGGCCTTGGAGTGGAAAAAAAGTGCATCCACAAAGGCAGATTCATGACTGTGAGTCTGCAGCGCGTGCGTCTGGAATTCCGAGATGGCTCTGGACCTCCTGAGGAACAGAGAGATCACCCACAGGTGCTTTGAGGAGTATTTTTGCAAAAGATAGAAATAAATGCAATAATGTCAAAAGACACCCAGGTTCATAGAATTATAGACTATCTGCAGTTGGATTCACACGGACCTTCAGTCCAAATCCTGGCCCTGCACAGACACCCCAGCAAACCCACCCTGTCCCTGCAAACATCGTCCAAACACTCCTTGAGCTCTGGCTGCCTTGGGGCCGTGACCCTGGGTAGCCTGGTCAGTGCCTGACCACCATCTGGGGGAAGAACCTTTTGCTGATATCCAACCTAACCCTCCCCTGATGCAGCTTCATGCCATTAAAATTGCCTAAAAATCTTTGGTGGTTTCATCATATGAAGAAGTTGCAACTCAGGAATGATTTTTGCATTTGTTTGTTACATATGGGTGAGATTTGAGCCAACATATGTGTACACAGGAACAGTCTTGTCTTTTTGTTAAAGTGAGGTTTGCATGTTTCCAGTCCTCCCATTTATGGCAGGACAGGCCACATTCATCCTGTTAGTATGGATTTGACAAGAGGCAGGATATCAGTTGCCTCCAAGTTTGCCACCTGGTCCAGTGCCGTCACTTCTATCCAAAAACAAAAGCACTGTGACACAGCCCCTCAGCTTCTCTCTGCTCCCCAGCTGCATAAAACAATGGGCAAAGCTGGGAGATGCAACTGCAGCAAGAGGTTTAGAGAAACACAGCAAGAAACCGCCACCAGAACAATGGATGTATCGTTAATAAAGATGGAAAATCATGGACAAACTGCTCCAGACAGCAAAGACTGGAGAAGCAAGGAGGAGTCAACAGCATGAGGATGAGCAGAAGAAAGCACAGGGAGATAAATCTTCCCAAACAGAGTTTCTAAATGAAGAGCAATGGGTAATAAAATGAAAAATGGCAGGGGAAGAGCTGGAAAATGGAGGAGATACAAGTGTTCTGGTTTTCCAAACATCCAGGGACAGAACCTGGCACCAGGAGCTCCCCCAGAATCTGTCAGCACCTTCAACCCAGTCATCACTTTGCAGCACAGCCCTGATATAACTCCCAGGCTGTAGCAGAACCGACACAGCTCCACGGCTCCGATCCCAGCTCATCCTGTGGCCAAGGATGTGCATTCCAAGAGGCAGCGCAGGAGGTGCTGACAGAAATTAAGCAATCATTCATTACTCTTCCTTGTCAGAGCACTGATCCACCCAGGAACACCAAGTCCTGGGGTGACAGGCACTGGAGGGACCCTTAGGAGCTTCTCAAGTGACATCAGCCGTGTGATTGCTCCCAGACACACAGCAGGGACAGAGCTTTGTGTGTCCCACCACGCCTGCACAATCCAGGGACAATGGGTTTGTCCTGTTCCCTCTGTGATGGGGTAAAGCCAACACTGTATTCCAATTCATTACAGATCAAGTCCCTCTGTTGTTTGTTATCTTGGAACAACCTGGTCTGGTGGAAGGTGTCCTTGCCCATGGCAGGGGGGTGGAACGAGATAAGCTTTGAGGTCACTTCAACCCAAACCATCCTGTGATCATGATCCATAACTCCTATGATTTCAATTCCAGACCAGCACACACAGTCAGGATCAGTGTCATGGAGTAAGAACAACCCAACCCCACTGCCCAATCCACAGCAGGGTTCCTCTTCAACCAGAAGAAGCATTATGTTGGAAAACAAATAGATCTTGTGGACACATTCAGACAACTCAAACTGCTCCTGAAGTGCAGTGAGTTGGATGGTTCACAAAAGCACATCCTGCCCATAACACACTCATTACTAATTTAGTGAGTGTGTTAATTGAGTTAATTATACAGTTAATTAAGATCTGAATCTGCACTTCTTGCACTTCATGAGCATCTAACCCGTGTGCATTCAAGCCAAGAACAAAGTGACCATGGACCATGGATGGGGACTTGTCTGGAGGCAACTGCTCCTGAGAGGGAATGAGCATGCAGGAAGCTCCACTTCCCATGATCAAAGCCCTAATTAAATACTAATTCACACTCATGATGAGAAACTACGCCTGAGAAAGCAGCTGGGATGTGGGACTGGCTCTGCAGCTCAATCAGGCAAATCAGACAGTGAGATTCCCTGGATCATTCCAGGGGTGAAAGAAGGTTATATTTTCACTAGAAGTGAAAAGCTTTTGACTTATTTTCCCCTTCAGAAAAAGAAAAAAAAAAAAAAAAACAAAAACAACAAAAATAATCCTTTAAGTTCAGGTCAACCAAAATGCATGACCAATCCCTTAGTTTTGGTTTGATAGTCCAGATAATTTTTCCCTTTTGCAAAAAAGGGTTTGCAAGCTATGAAACAAAACATGACTCCAAAATGGAAGAACAGGAATATTTAGCTCTGAAAATGTTGAAAGAAAACAAGTTGCCCTTTACAGAAAGATTAGCTACTGGTGCCAATTCAGTAAATAGTTTCAGTCAACCCCAAAATTGCATTTCTCGGCAAATAAACTACTTATCCCAAAAAAGGTTGCCCAGATCTTTGCAGAATCCAAAAACAAAGTGCTTCACTATTTGAGCTCAGATCAAATGTCCATCACCACAACCAGGGTAATGACTTGGATCCTCTCCAGACGTTCCCAGGCCATTACATGGGAACATTTTAAGATGAACAATGGTGTTTAGCTTTGTTCTTGAGAGGAAAATAAGAGAAATTATGATATTTTGCTCCTTTATTCAGGACAAAAAAAAAAAAGGTGTGGACATGGGAACTTTCTCAGGCACCTAAACTGGATAAATGATCTATGGAAGCAGAGATAGTGGTTCTGAAAACATGACCCTATTACCTGGCTCTTAATGTTTCTGTATTGTCCTCAATTTGCCCATTTTGTGGTCTTTTTTAGTGGAAAGAACTGAGGGATTTTATAGAAGTGGCTTCACGGGAAAAGAAGCCCCAGTAGATGCCAATGGCAGAACCGTGGTCCCACTTGGGTTTGGTTTGTTATGGGTTCTTTAACAGTGCTGACAGCAAAATCCTTTCATCTTCTGGGAAAACAGCAAATCGTCTCTGCTAAAAGAGCAAACCCATGACCCTGGAAATTAAAGTCCTCCAAACCAGGCATCTCTGCTCTGACACTTCCTCGGTTCCCAGCACTGCTTCTGCTCTGACAGATTCCAAGGAGAGAGGAACCAGCCCCCAAAATTCACTTACTAAACAGCAAAATTACACATCCCTACCTGGCAAAGACCCGCTTCTATGGGAAGGCAGATCTCAAGAGATGGTACATTTGACATCAGCAGTATCAAGAGCTTGTCTTAGCCCTTCAGGAGGGAATAACACCCCAAAATCAAAGCCAGCAGAAGAAGCACAACTCTAAGTTCACGTCACCCAAAGATGGACTTGACCTGCACACATCCAGCAGTGGGGTTTTTTATGAAAATATTGCCCAGAAGAAACACAACAAACAAAATAGCCCAAAACTCTAAGGTTTAAAAAACTTTATTCCTGAGTCTGAGATCTGCTGTCTGCCAAGAAAATCAAATATTGCTGTTCCAAGTGGGAAAACCTGCAGAGGGAAGCTTAAACTATATACAAAGCCAGCAAGAACCACTCTCGATTTGAGCCACCAGAAGAATATTCTATTTAACCTGGTTCAGTCCCCTGCGCTCAATCACTTTGCACATCTCTATAAAGAGAGGACTGAGAGATGGCAGAAGACAAGATTTCCACTTCACCAGTGCCCAAATCCCTCAGGGAGGAGCTTTCTCGGGAGTTTTATGTTGTTTGCTTTACAAAATACACCTTGTCCCTAACTTATCCCCCCACATTGCCCAAGCTGTTCAGACCTCTCTATCCTTCTTCTCCCTCTTTTCCCTCCCTTAAGACTTTCTCTCCATCCTTAGCATCAGCTTTCCCAACAAATGAAGAGGGATGAGGTTGGAACAAAAACAGCCATCCTTTGACATCACATTCCTCACCAATGTGCCTTGGTAAGCAGGACTAATCCAGTCTCAGCTCCTGGCAAAGCTCCTCCTGGAAGACAATGACCTCTCGAACCCATGAGATGGGAGTTCACTTGCTCCTCAAAACAGAAATGTAAAAAAAAAAACCAAACAACTGTGGTAAGAGTTTTATACTGTTCACACTTACAATTGACTCCAGGCTGGGGAAATCCAGCTGATTTCCTTGGAGCTGCTCTGTTTTCATCCCCATGAGCAGGGCAGAGCTGGGCCGGTTGCTGTGCGTGTTCTGCAGCGCTGGCCCCGGGCCACGGGGATCTGATCTCACTCTACATTTTCATGAAGCTTGTGGGTGGTTCAGAGAGAGGGTTTTATTGGGCTCAGGGACAATAGGGTGCAGCTGGGAAGTTTGCATCTGGATCTGAACTTGCAAAGAGTTCAAATCCAGGGGTTTGGGCCAGATCCATCTCAAGCATTAGTTTTCTAGATATCAGAATACCACCCTTGGGACCTGCAAAAGCAAGGCCAGCTCTGGCGTGCAGAGGTGTAACAGCATTGCCCTCCATGGAGTCTGTCCTGATTTACACTAGAGAGAGATCAAAATTCCTGCCAGGGCAGCAGGAAAGTTGTGCTTTATGTTCATTGCCACGATTCCAGTGGACACAATAACAGCTGCTTGCTCCAAAGCAGGCAGATATCCTAATGTGCTTCCCATCCATGGGTTAGTGGTGCCAAAACTCCTCTAAGTGCATTTTGAGCTACTATTTTTGTTTTGGGGAAGATATGCACAACTCCTCTGCTTTCACATCCAAATGGTCTTTTTCATCCTTCTCCTCCTCCCCTCCTTCCTGGCAACTGCTCCTGCTGCATCTGTGCCGGGGTGTTTTCAGAGCTGGGAACTGGCAGTCAGTGTCCTGGTACCTGCTGAGCTCTGGCTGCTGCTCCAGCCAGGTTTAACCAAAGTGCCTCACAGCATTTCACGCTCCACGGATGTTTGTGCTCTTGGGAGGGTGTTACAAAAGCTACAGAGTCAGGGATGGAAAGTAAGGAAGCAAATGCAACCTCAGGCTTAGGTAGAAATTAGTCTGGCCTGAACTGAGGGGTAGATGAGCTGGGGGCAGCTTTGCAGAAGGTCACAGTGGTAATCAAAGCCCAGGAAAGCTTGGAAGGAGCACAGGGGCTTTGACCCAGCTCCCAAAGTGATCAAGATTCACGGTGTAATGAGGAGAAGAAAATTCTGCAACAAGTACCTGTGCTCACACCAAAAAGAGAGGTGAATGGAATGAGCATTCAGGGTCATGAAGATGCTCCAAGGGCTGGAGCTGGAGACAGGCTGGGAGAGCTGAGGGTGTTCAGTCTGGAGAAAAGAGACTACTTCCAGTGCCTAAAGGAACTCCAGGAGAG